AGTGCTGAGATGCTCTCGTGCAGTGGTTCTCAAACTTTTTTTTTCACAGACCACTTGAAAATTGCTGAGGGTCTTGGCAGACCACTTAAACTTTTTTTTGTTCTACAAATCAAAGCACACAACTCGTATTTTAATATCAGTAGTCTTACCTTACAAGTACAGATATTCTCGATTACTCTGCAACCTTTCTGCGGACCACCTGAACGGAGCTCGTGGACCAGTGGTGGTCTGTGGATCACAGTTTGAGAACCTCTGCTCTAGTGGCTTCATTCTTGGTTCTTGGTGACTGACCATCAGCAGTAATTCTGTTGAGGTCAGTATACTATAAAGGTTGTAAGAGGTGAATTGGGCCCAGCTACTTACCATCCTACAGGACTTCTTCAGAATGCCAAAACAAAATTGTTTGAAATATTTTAAGGGCTGGGACTGGAGTTGATTCCTCAGACACCCAGTTCATATTCTTGCTGTTTTTCCCACCTGCTAGGGATCATTGCACTACTATACCAAATAGGTAAGAGGTTCACTTGGGGCCATTTAAACTAATATCAAATCTCCCACTGGTTCCAAAGGAAGCAGGATTGTGCTCTTCAATGTTTTATCCCAGATGCTTTTGAGAAGCCATGATAATAGCGTGTCAGTTAACTCTTTTGACAGTTCATTCTTTTGTACCATCTACAATCCTGACATAGTTGACAAAACGTGCTCTTTCGCACAGAACTACCTTTTAGTTTAGTTTTACTTCATCTAATTTAATCCATTAAGCATGAAAGTTCAGTAAATGGAAGGCAGGGTCCTCAGCAATTGAAACACACTCGTACAGCCTATTTACCTTCTATAGACAAGCATAGAGAGCCTTTCTTTGGCTGCTGCTTCTTGATTCTGGATTTATTTAACACATTCTGTTTGAGTTATAGCTGCAAGCCAAACTTCTCATTATTTACGAGTTCAAAGGCACAATGCTATAAATATTAATCAGTTATAAATTTCACTTTTCAGAAGGGCTTGAATTGCAGAAGAATATTGCTCCAGGTCAGAAACTGTTGAGAGGAGCGTAGGAGCAATTCTGTTGTGAAATTGGTGCCTGTTTGCT